GTGACTATTGACACATTTGTGCGAAGGGACATTTTACAGATTAAATTTAAAAAAGGATTTTAAAAAAAGCTCTTCTCAACTCAGAGTAATCCAAAGTATACCTTATTTTGTAAACAGTATTAATATAAGACCACTACTGTAAAAACCACATTAATTGAAGTACCATGTGTTTTGTGAAGCTTCAAGAAATTAAGAAATTAGATATTTAACAGCTAGTGATATACACACACATAGAGCACATAAATACAGAGACTGTGTTAAATTTGACTAGAGTAGCTGATTGCAATTTGCAAAAAGCAATTATTCATTAAGAGTCCACAGATTTCCGTATTTATTTTTCAAAGTGCTTGAGACATCCTGGAGAGATATAAAATTCTGTTCTCAATACTCTTGTCAGGGCAGGATTTAAAGGTAGAATTTCAGAGTCTCCCAGAGTAGAATTGGTAAGAAGGACTCCAAAGATGTGTAGGCTTAACATGCTATATTTTGAAGGAAGGAACCAAAGCATATTATTAAATAAAGACATCTTCCTACACACAGAAGAATCTTATGGTCTGATTGGATTTTTTTTTTTTTAATTCTGAGCATCAGTTTATTTTAATGGACTTCACTGGTCGTAGTGTGGATATCAATGGCTGGTTTGTTGTTGTTGTTAGTTGCAAAGTCATGTCCGACCCATTGCAACCCCATGGACAATGTTCCTCCAGGCCTTCCTGTCCTCTACCATCCTCTGGAGTCCATTTAAGCTCACGCCTACTGCTTCAGTGACTCCATACAGCCACCTCATTCTCTGTCATCTCTTTCTTCTTTTGCCCTCAATCGTTCCCAGGATTAGGCTCTTCACCAATGAGTCTTTCCTTCTCATCAGGTGGCCAAAGTATTTGAGTTTCATCTTCAGGACCTGGCCTTCTAAAGGGCAGTCAGGTTGATCTCCTCTAGGACTGACCGGTTTGATCATCTTGCAGTCCAAGGGACTCGCAGGAGTCTTCTCCAGCACCATAGTTCAAAGGCCTCAATTCTTTGGCGCTCAGCCTTTCTTTTGGTCCAACTTTCAAATGGTCCAAATGGCTGGTTATCTCTGTGTTTTTCAGCCCTCCCAAAACTCGGAGCAACTCTGGAAACTAAAACTTGAAAAAGGTGACAAGAGAGTATTATTAGATTGTTCCTCTGTATTAGGTATGATGAATGAAGCAATTGCCGTAGAAAGTAAATTGTGGCACAGGATGGCCAAGTGTCAGAAGAGAGGCTATGTACTATGCAAGATGACTTGTGCTCCTTAATCCATCCCACTATTTATGAAGGCAGTGGAGGATGTTCTACCATTGCCAATCTCAAGAAAAATTGCTGGTTTCTGTATAAGGAATGGGGTTGGGTAGCATCTTATGCTTTGTCTCAAGAAACGGTACAGAGGATGCTGCAGCCACAAGGCAGACAAAGTCTCCACCAACAATGTGCTGGGTAGTGTGGAATGCAGTAAGACCAAAGTGCTCATTTTCAGAAGAAGAAGCCGAGAAAAGCTTATTAGTCTCCCCTATCTTTAGCGTTAGGGGACTAGATTAGCATAAGTGCCACAGCTGATCCCCAGCTGTTGTCATGGCCCTAGGGAGGAAAATAATTTACAAACCTCTACTGGCTGAAAAGGGCTTTGATCATAATCAACACATGGAAGTGCATCACCCACCAAATAATTTAGTGGAGAAGTGTTAGGTGGCCTAAGCAGCTGCTTTTCCTAAGAAGAAACAGTTTCTGTGTGATGTGGCCAAGGACATCAAGGATAAGCAATAGGATTAGCAATAACCCTTAGATGTATACTGCTTTACACTTACAGACCTCTCTAAATGGTTTACAGAGACAGCATATTGCCTCCAACGATCTGGGTCCTCATTTTACCGACCTCGGAAGGCTGGAAGGCTGAGTCAACCTTGAGCCCATCAGGATCGAACTGCTGGCAGTCGGCAGAATTAGCTTACAATACTGCATTCTAACCACTGCACCAGCATGGCTCCTTATGTACCTATACAGTAGAACTTTATGAGAAGAAGAAGCCTCATTCCCTTCCCCAACCTGCTTTTGGAAGGAAGAAGTTCATTGAACGTCTTGAAACCTGATCTGCAAACTGGTTCTTTTAGGCCTTCTACTTCAGTGTCACATAGCAGGCATCAACCCAGATGTTTACTTAGGAAGACACACTGCCTTTGCAGGAAGATCTCATTCTTGTTTTAACTGCTTACAGGCACAACATGGTTTAGAATGGAAGCCTGACAAGTCGACTTTGAAGATTTGTTTTTGGCAATGAGGCAGATAAATCCACATGCCTGCCAGATTGCCAAGGGAGAGCTCAATTTAAGAGATTCTGTGATCATATTTATATCAATAAGGACATATTATATTGTAGTATAAATATATAGAAGAAGAACATACAGGTAGTCCTCAATTTACAACCACAATTGAGCCCAAAATTTATGTTGCAAAGCGAGACAGTTGTTAAGTTAATTTTACCTAATTTTACAACCTAACTGCTGTTAAATGAATCACTGCAGTTGTTAAGTTATTAACACAGTTATTAAATGAATATGGCTTTCTCATTGACTTTGCTCATCAGAAGTTCACAAAAGGTGATCACATGACCTGGGAACTCTGCAACCGTCATAAATATGAATCAATTGCCAAGCGTCTGAACTATCACATAACCATTGGGACGCTGCAACAGTCTTAAGTGTGAAAAATGACCACAAGTCACTTTTTTCATGCCTTTGTAATTTCAAATGGTCATCAAATGAACTGTTGTAAGTTGAGGACTACTTGTACTATATCAGAAGTCACTGGGAATCACAGTACCAGAGATTTTTGGGAGAGCAAAAAGAAGCTCACCATGAGATGGGGAGAAGTGGGACTTTGTCCAGTGGATCAATCTAGCAGGCTGGCACCAAGGCACTGGGATCACTTGCATAGCACCAGAAGCTTCTGCAAGAGTAAAGAGGAGCTTGCTGTGAGCTGCAGAGAAGTTGGGTTTGAACCCTACAAATTAGACAAACAAGCTAACAGTACATCAAGGAAACCACCAAGATCACTCCCATCAACACTGATAGAGAGCAAGCCCCACTCCCTTCTAGCAATGATGATGTTACCTAGTTAGGTAATGAAATGTCTGCACGTAAACAACCAAGCTTAGAAGACAACAGTTCAACCCTGAGCTACAAATATTCTTCTTCCATTGGTGAATTGGTCTTTGTATCAGTGGTGGGTTTCAAATTTTTTTACTACCGGTTCTGTGGGTGTGGCTTGATGGGCATGGCATGGCTTGGTGGGCGTCTCTTGGTGGATACTGTAAAATCTCCATTCCCAGATCACTCCAGGGGAAGGATACTGTAAAATCTCCATTCCCTCCCCACTCCAGGAGAAGGTTACTGCAAAATCCCCATTTCCTCCTGATCAGCTGGGACTTAGGCAGAGAATAGATGGGAGCGGGGCCAGTCAGATTTTTTACTACCGGTTCTCCGAACTACTCAAAATTTCTGCTACCGGTTCTCCAGAACTGGTCAGAACCTGCTGAAATCCACCTTTGCTTTGTACAATGAAACCAGTGCCCTGGGGACTGAGCCACTGGAAACATTTGCATAGCACCAAAGGCTTCTGGGACTGTGAAGTGGAACTCACTATGAGCTACACAGAAGTTGGACTTTGTCTGCTGAATCAAACTTGAAGAGGTATAAGGACTCTTTCCTTGGGCAGGGTTGGACTAAAAGACATTGAAAGACCCGTCCAGCCTTAAGATACTATGAGAATCTGCATTCAACATAACAATAGGGAGGGATGCTGGAAGTTGCCATACAAAACCCTCTAGTAGTGGTGGGAAAAAACCAACCTGCTAAATGTTCTCTTGCCATCGAGTTATTAAACTTTTCTAGAAAAAGGTGGTGACTTCATTCTTTGTACACCCCTTTGCAAAATATCTGGAAGTATCACCTTTATTCTCCTTCCTTTAGGCTTACATCTGCAGCCCTCACTAATGGCCAGGCACAAGGAAAGCAGACAGATTGCACAACTTGGATGAGACCCAAGCTGTCTGTTCACCCTCCTTTAGAAGGTTGCATATGAGATTGTTCACCCATCTCTTAATCACTGTTTAGGAACTTTAAATCAGTTCTTTAAATCTTTAAATCAATCTTTAAATCAAGATTCGGGTGCTCTTTTGTAAACGCAATCCGGATGTTTTTTTTTAAAAAAGTTATTTTTTAAATCTTGAAGATCACAACTGAGATGACTTTGTGCATGCATGGTTCCTGTAGTGAGCAAATGTATTTCAAGAAAATAAGTCAAGGACAACGTCTTATGCAGTCTGGTTTTCTGCTTCTGCCTTTCCTTTTCTACCCCTGTGGAGATCAGTCAGAACCAAGACTCTCCAGCAATTAATCACATGATGCCTGGGATAATAGGTGCTTAGTAACATTGGAACTCCTCTCTCCAGAATGTAACATCTAGCCATCTCTTGTGGCTTGGTAGACTAAAATAAGAGCCCTTTTGACTTCAGTGAATTATTTTTTTAAGAAATGTCACGGCCAACAAGGAAATGAACTAATAGATGCCACATACAGTTTCATTAGAATACATGTTTTGTAGGCATCGTTGAGTAATATGCTTAGTATTTCCACTAGAGTTGCAGTTTTGTATCAGGTAGTCCTTGTTAATGATAGCAATTGGGACTAGAATCCATCACTAAGCGACATAAAGTTTGATGTCACGTGACTGTGCAGTTTACCAATGGTAGTTGTAGCACTTCCGCTTGCTGCCCTTACAGCTCTTCCTTCCTTTGTGACATCACAAAGTCACCATTTGCGATGTTCTACTGGCTTCTCCATTGACTTTGCTTCTTAGAAGCTGCCAGAGAAAGTTGAAAATGGTGGTCACAACATTGCAGTTGTAAGCCAATTGTCAAGTGCCCAGATCATGATCATTTGACCACAGGAATGCTGCAATGGCCAGTCATAAGTACTGCTTGTTCATAAGTTCAGTCACTGAACAAGTGGTCATTAAGCAAAGACCACCTTTACATCTATTTCAAATATACCTTTTTTTTTTTTTTAAAAAGTCAACCTTCTAATATCAAAGTATTTTCCTATGCAATTTTATCAAACATACTTTTCTCTAGGTGACTTTACTAAATTATATATTTTTCTATATGATTCTCTCAGAAGATAACTCATGAATTATATGCCTGTTTCTGTGTGGCTGACTTCCAATTTGGCAGGATGCATTATATTCTTGAAAAGATATCCATCAAAGAGTTCTTATATAATGGTATCTGTAGGTGATATGTAAAGTTGTAAATTACAAATTGAAGCAGGATTGGTAGAGTCTTCTTGGAAGCAGTTGTGTGTGGATTAAAAATATATAAACTAATTCCCTTTCCATTGTTTCTTACTAGCTCAAAGAGGCTACCAGTGAACAACAATCAATGGATCTGTAGACACCACACTTGTGTAGGTTTAATCCATTTATATACAAATCAAATTACCGCTTGTCTGGAGATATCTACGTATATTTACTGGGAACAATGAATAGTATTCCTTCAGGAGAAATTAAGCCAGAGAATTAATTAGCAAAATCTAATATCCAATAAATTGTATACCTTATCATGGGTGGTCAGTTGTGGCACTGAATAGAAGGCAGGAGAACAATTTCCTCAGTGGTTCTTTCCACACAGAAGGTGCTGATATAAACAGAAAGATGGAAAAGAACAATGATGTTAGAAGCAAACAAAGAACATGGCAGCTTTTAAAAGGATTTTCATGATCAAGGTCTATGTTTCTGACTTAAAGAGACGAAGAATGCAATGTATGCCTACCTTTTGTAAATCCCAAGAAATGATTTGATATATTTGAGATATATATTGCTAGAATAGCTGAATACCCATGCTCCGCTATGAAACTATGTGATCAGGCTTGATAAATCGACACTTAGAGTTTGAAAATTAATGAGTAGTTATGATTGGCCTCTCCTCTCCCCTTCTCTCCTTCAGGCTAGCCCCACAGGAACCTCTCTTCTTTATCCCCTTCTCTCCCTCAGGCTGGCCCCATAGCTCCTCTCCTATCCCCTTCTCTCCGTTAGGCTTGCCCCATAGAGGCCTCTCCTCTCCCTCAGGCTGGCCCCACAGAAGCCTCTCCTCTCCCCTTCTCTCCCTCAGCCTTGCCCCACAGAAACATCTCCTATCCTATCCCCTTCTCTCCCTCAGGCATTCTAGCTCCTTCTCTCCATGAGGTTTGCCCCACAGATGCCTGTCCTATACTATCCCATTCTCTCCAGAGTTATTTTCAAGTTGGGAGGGGGAGTAGACCATCTAACTAATTAGCACCAGAGCGTGTTATAATAATATAGGAAATACTAATGCTCTGATGGTCATTTCGAAAAATCCTTTCTTAGTGAGCACTTAGAAGCCAAGAGGAACATATGTGGCAAATTTCAAGTTTGTAGGCTTTACGGTTCTGGAGATTTTGTGATTAATGCATAAGTGGTTTTTGCTTTTATATATATAGATAAGTGTCCAGGTGACAGTTTAGTCTCCAGAGTGGTAGGACCAATCATTTCTCCTACTTCTTCTTCATTTTGGCATGTTTGGAAGTTGAAGGGGACGAATTAAGGGACAAAACAACTGTCCTGAACAGTTGTTTTCAGTCAATAGGTCATCATGGTCTTGTTTGTTTTTTGACTATGAATTTCAACATGCAGTAGAAAATCTGTAGTTACTTTGACCAGGTGGAAGTTGGTGTATAATATTGGATTTCAGGAAGAATGGTCAACAGTGTGTGTGTGTGTGTGTGTGTGTGTGAGGGGAGAGCCTGAGGTTTGTGATTAGCAACTTTGGGAAGGCCATATATGGACAGCGTCACATCTAATGCTCCATTCTCCTAGTTTCCCTATAACCAAAATCCTCTGAGGAGGGCCAAGAGAATGTGGCTGGACTTCAGAGTTTCTTTGAATGTCTCAGTAGACGGTACTTTTCTTCATTCCACTCTACATAAAAAAAGAACGTGACAATCTGCAGCTGGTAGGTTGCTTGCACAGCTCTCAGGATCCCATTGTAAATCTCCAATTCCTTCCCTGAAATTCATCAGCAAAGCAGCTGAATTGCTGGTTCCTGGTTTTGGGCCTAAAAAATAGCAAAATAAAGAGAGGAATGGGAGTGCAAGGCCTCTGGGAAGGGGAAACCCTCCATTCCAGTGGTAGGTTCCTCCCGGTTCGGTCCGGTTTGGCCGAGCCGGTTGCGGTGACGATATGATGTCACCGAACCGGTTCTCCCCCCCACCCCCCACGTTATTCTTACCTTTTATTTGGTCCCACCCCCAATCTATTGCTGCCTCCTGAGTCCCAGCTGATGACTAGAGGAAAAAAAACTGTTTAAACTCTTGCCGCGGAGCTTCAAAGGGCCGTCCTACAGCTGATCAGTGTTAAAAGCAAACAAATGAGTCGGGTCGTAAGTGCGAGGACTGGTCGTAAGTGTGAGGACCTTCCAGAAATGACTCTGACCAGCTAGCCACACCCACCTAGTCACATGACACCCAAGCCACACCCACAAAATAAGCCACGCCCACAGAACCGGTAGTAAAACAATTTAGAACCCACCCCTGCTCCATTCTTATCCTCAATCCCTGCCCCACAGTTCCGAAACTCCATAGGAAGCAAAAGTTTCTGATGATGACCCACTATTAAGTCAGGAAGATGATTAATTGTCCTTCTGAATAAACGATAAAGGGTTACTACAAACATGACAAGACGATCATTTTCCCCTTTTTATTTCATGTTCAGAACATGCACGTATAAGCACATGTGCATATGGTCTGTCTGTCTGTCTGTCTGTCTGTCTCTGTCTCTCTCTCTCACACACACACACACAAACACACACACACATCCATCCATGCTAACTGATTGTGTTTAAGTGACTGGCTAATTTTTTTATTTTTTTTTGCCCCTTTCAAGAAAAAGAACCCAGAGGCATGTGTAAAACTAGTAGCTACACAGAGTGGGAGAATCAGTTGTCTGCTGGGCAAATTGACAGCACTCATTAATCTTGGATGGAGACTTCTACGGAGCTCATCCTTTCATGCACCTGCCCATGCTGAAAGTAATTACTCGATGGCACTATTAATACGGAAGTGGAGATGGGGGTTATCTCCCCTTCTTAGGCATTGATTGCTGGCTGATTAGGGGGACAACATTTCTCTTCCAGGATAATTGCCTTTGTGCTGTTGCAGTCTTTGTAACCTGAGGGTTAGGCCATCTTGCTGTAGTGCCAGGCCTTGACAATAGCACTGGAGTCCTCTGGGTAATGAACTAGAACTCAATCATAGCAAATTCCCTGAACAGCCAATGCCTAATATAATGTATCACAATCAGGAGTTCCTTCCCACAACCAAACAGCATTAAAAAGATTTGTTGGCTCTTTTGTTTCACACTTCCTCCCTCTCTCAAACAAACATTGATATTACAGACATGAAGCTGTCATTGGACCAGGTTCCCAGGGACTCTCATCATCTCTTAGGAAAGGTGTTTGTCACCTTTACTATTTCCCCAAATCAAACAGAATTCCAATCTGGATCAGTCATCACTGGACCAGAGGCTTAGTGGTAGCGCTAGAGCCCATCCTCAGGGAACTTCTGTCTTGGGCTATTCTATGCTTGGTATTTATGTGGTGGCTGGTTGGATGTGGCTTTTTATTGGTTGATTGGGGTGTAAGCCACACCCAACCAGGCACCACATAGATGCCAAACATAGAATACAGGTATTCCTCGATTTACGATCACAATTGAGCCCAAAACTTCTGTTGCTAAGTGAGACATTTTGCAACTTTTCTTGCCACAGCTGTTAAGTGACTCACTGCCGTTGATAAATTAGTAACACTGTTGTTAAGGGAATGTGGTTTCCTCCTTGATTTTGCTTGTCAAAAGGTTGCAAAAAATGATCACATGACTTTGGGGCACAGCAATGGTCATAAGTATGAATTGGTTGCCAAGCATCTGAATTTTGACCACATGATCATGGGGATGCTACAAAGGTCGTAAGTGTGAAAAAGGTCATAAATAACTTTTTTCCAGTGCCGTAGTAACTTTGGACAGTCACTAAATGAACTGTTGTAAGTCGAGGACTACCTGTAGTTCAAAGCACACATTCTGGTGAGAGAGAAGTTCCCTGAAAATGGGCTCCACCTGGAGTCCAAAAGTTCAGAGGACTAAACCTCTGGTCCTGGTGACTGACCCAGATTGGATCCTGCAACATTAACATGGGACACATATATTTGCCTTCATTTGCCAAATCAAACAGTTGGATATGAAGAAGTAGGAATGAAAACGATGAGCCCATTTTTATCTGGGTGCCCTCCCAGATCTGCTTCCAAAATTCACAACCAGTTGAGCATCTCGATTTATTTATTTGTTTAGTTTGTCAAACATGTACGAGATAACAGGAATTAGTATAAACATGGATATGAATACATGAAATCGGTACGAATAAATGGGGACAGTAGGACAGGGACGGAAGGCACGCTGGTGCGCTTATGCACGCCCCTTACAGACCTCTTAGGAATGGGGTGAGGTCAACAGTAGACAGTTTAAGGTTAAAGTTATGGGGGTTTGAGGATATAACAACAGAGTCAGATAGTGCATTCCAGGCATTGACCACTCTGTTGCTGAAGTTGTATTTTCTGCAATCGAGTTTGGAGCGGTTTACATTGAGTTTGTATCTATTGTGTGCTTGTGTATTATTGTGGTTGAAGCTGAAGTAGTCATTTACAGGTAGGACATCATAGCAGATAATTTTATGTACTATGCTTAGGTCGGACCATAGACAGCATAGTTCTAGGTTGTCCAAGCCCAAAATTTCAAGCCTGGTGGCATAAGGTATTTTTTTGCGAGTGGAGGAGTAGCTCTGTGAGTGAGAAAGGCTGGTGCACATGAATGAATCACAGTAAAATTAAATGGCCATGTTGTGTCCTATTTGATGATTATGTCTTTATGGCCAGATGCAAAGAAAGATGGGTTTCTCTTTGGACCATAAATAGATTTTTTAAAAAATTAAAGTGCATTTTTTCTACCTAGCAAGGCAAGCTGCATTTACTCAAACTCTTTCTTCGCTGAAGCCTGACTCCCGCTTTTCTTCGGGCTGTCCTATGAAACGCTCTAGTAGTCTGATTTTAAGTTTAGATTTATGAATGCAAGGACCTGCACTCACTCGAAGGTTTCAGTTGCAGTTTAAAAGCACATAATAAATAATGAACAGAGAATAATAAAAGACAAAATGTTGGACCAAACCATAATAAACAGAAAGCACGATGATCTAATTGGGAATTGGGTTACCAACAGCTTTCCTGAAAGAGTCTTTTAGAGATTTGCCCTTGTAGTTCCTTGGACACTGAATTTCTGAATGCTGGAGGTTGAGAAAGACAGCTATTTTTTGTCATCGACAAAAAATAAATTAAGCGAAAGAGGCCCAAATAGATTTTTTAATGCAAATTTGGAAAGAATCATTGTCACTCAAATCAAATAGAAAAGTACATCTTACCTCTGAGGTAAAAATTCTGCTCAGATGGCATCTGTGCCTCTTATGATATCATTACAGTTAGTCCTCGACTTACAACAGTTCTTTTACTGAGCAATCAAAGTTACAATGGCACTGACAAAAGTGACTTATGACCATTTTTCACACTTATTGCAGCCTCCCCACAGTCACGTGATCAAAATTCAAACGCTTGGCAACTGGTTCCTATTTATGACCATTGCAGTGTTCTGGGGTCATGTGATCACCTTTTGTGACCTTCTGACAAGCAAAGTCAATGGGAATTAACAACCATGTTATTAACTTCACAAATGCAATGATTTACTTAAAAACTGTGGCAAGAAAAATCGTAAAATGGGGCAAAACTCACCTAACAAATGTTTCACTTAGCAACGTAAATTTTGGCCTCAATTGTGGTTGTAACTCGAGGATTACCTGCAATGGGAGAGTAACTTCAAGACTTTTGCATTTCCTTCTTATGACTGAATTTGGACTGATGGCCTTTGAGACAGAAGACTTTATTCCAAAAGAAAATTTACTATCTCAAGCAGGGCAGGGCTGCTTTGGGTAAAGGTAAAGGTAAAGGAATCCCTGCAGGTTTTACTCTGCTAGTTGTAGCCAAATTTGGGGGGTGATGCTTATCTCTGTTTCTAGGCCATTGAGTCAGCGCTATCCGAAGATATTTCTGTGGTCATGTGGCCAGCATGGCATCATGCCGCAGCACAGAGTATGAAGTGAACGGAACACTATTACCTTCCCAATAAAGTGGTACCTATTTATCTACTTGCGTTTACACGGTTTTGGACTGCTAAATTGGCAGGAGCTGAGGCAAGTGATGGGAACTCATTTCATCATGCAGTGGTAGTGTCAGATCCCCTGCTGGGATGCTCCCATTCAGATGGGGGGTGGGGGTGGAGGAGGCTATCAGGATTGCATTCTCTGCATGCTTTCACTTTTGTTGTAACAGAATGGGATTTAGGAAGGGGGGGCGATCTTGAAGATAGATGGACTTCCTCCCAGTTGGTTCTAGCCTGACACCAAGGTCGCTGTGTTCTGGGGATGAACTGCTATCAAGTTAACGCCTCAGAGTTCTCAAAACACCTACGAAGCATTGTATTGGCAACTGGTGGACTGGTGAAGGGGGGTGGGGTTTGAATTGGGAAGAATACTTAACACTTTGCACGGGAGCGTCAGATTCTGTCTGACTTCTCTGCAATCACTTTCTCTCAGTAAAAGTTCCTTTTGATAACTAATTGTTTCAAGAGTCATGCTTTCCCAAGGGAGTAGCTGAGGCAGATTCTTACAGGTAGGAATTGAACAGACCTTCTCTGGCAGCTTGTAAGCCACTGAGCCACTGCACCACTTGCTGCTCTAGGAAAAAATCCTTAATTAAGAAATGGGTAGACTCTGATTCCACAACGTCAATAGACAGGCAGGAAGACATTTCAAAAGTCATCAGGTCTGCCAGAAAGAATAGTCTCTTGAAAAAGCCCCAATCCTTACCTAATCTTTTAGGTGGGGGGAAAACCTCATTAAAGAATAACAACTCTGGTAAGATATTTGCAAGTAGAGCTGTGTAAATGTTGTGTTCCCCCTCTCCTGCCCAATTCTTATCAAATGTGATTCTCATATGTAATGCAAATGGGATTATCCAAATCATTCAACAAAGCAACTAGCAAAAAACGCCTTTCGGGATTTGCTCTTTAAAATTGCTTTCCTTCACATGGCTGACTATCATTGTGAAAGTGCACATGCACATGAAACCTTGGGAGTCTTCAAGTGGCTTCATCAGCTTCATGGTGTTGAGGGAGAGATCCAGAGCTGTCCATTTCATTACAATTGAATTATCTCGATTGGTCTTAACACAATTGTTTATGCCCCACAATTCATTGTGCTTCCAACAAGCAGAAAGAGGGGCTAAGCAAATCCATAAGTACACAGATTTGGGAGGAACATCAAAGGTGACCCTCTCATCTAACCTTTTGCAGTGCAAGAAATCTCATGAATTAATCAGAGAAACAGTTGTTTATGGACTTTATTGGCAAGAGATGGAGCTGCGGAATTTTGGTGTATTTCCATCACATAAAAGCACCGTAAAAGTTTGATTAAAGCTATCAGCAAAACTATGTAAGTAAGAAACTCAAGGAAGGCTACTTTAGAGGGAGTGACTGGCTCAACAGCTTTCATCCTTAAGGAAGAAGTAGAACTGTCCTAGTTTTTAGTCCACAATCTTAGTCTCTATACAAACATGCCTGGTGGCTCAGCAGACTGATAGCATTGTGATTAACACCAGCTGTCTGCAATTACTGTAAGTTCGAATCTCACCAGGCTCAAGGTTGACTCAGCCTTCCATCCTTTCTAAGGTAGGTAAATTGAGGACCCAGTTTGTGGGGGCAATAAGCTGACTTTGTATAAAATATACAAAAGTATGAAGGCTATTGCTTAATGCATTGTAAGCCGCCCTAAGTCTCCGGAGAAGGGCAGCATATAAATCAAATTTATATATATATATATATATATATATATATATATATATATATATATATATATATATGTATGTATGTATGTATGTATGTATGTATGTATGTATGTATGTATGTGTGTGCATAAGTGCACCAGCGTGCCTACCGTCCCTGTCCTAATGTTTTCTTTTATTTGTATCCTTTTCATGTATTTATAATTATGTTTACACTTGTATCTGCCATAAAATACATGCTTGACAAAATAAATAAAATAAATAAAAATAAATGAATACCTGAACAATTTATTGTAACTGAAGCTTGGGAAATTAAAGAAGATAGCAGGTAAGGTTTGTGGGGAGCATTGACTACAACTTGCAGATTGGAATGTTTCACTGGTTGCTAGTCCAGGTTAGTATTCCCCAACTTGGATATCCTCAGAAGCCTGGACTTCCAACTTCCAAAATTCTCTGCAATGGCCATAATGGTTGAGGTATTCTATGACCAGGAATCTGCATATCTGGAAGCCTTGACTAGTTTGAGAGGTAGTGATAAGCAAATGAATGTTGTAGTTTATAAGCCCTTCAGGTCTTATGGCCATCTAGATCAACTTCCAGCTAAAGTGGAAAAATTAGATTTATGATTTGAAGACTATTAGTAGTCTGATTCCCCCTATAAGAATTAAATCTATTATCTTGCAACTCTTATGGTCCAAATATTCTAATTAGAGATGTGAAAGCAAGAGATAGAGACACAAAAAAGTAATCTAGGAAAAATAATAAGCATCTCCTCTTCTCTCCCAGATTTTCATAACTCTACGTCTAGTCCCATTTTGGTGCAATATTCAAGTTGTCTAACATCAGAGCATCTTTCTTGCTTCTTTAGCCTATAACATAGCATATACATGATGCTTGACCAGGGTTCATAATATTCTGTGGGATGCTACACATCCCCTTCATGACCTGTTTTCCTTGTTACCTTCTTGGAGGAGGCTTCGTGGTATCCGAAGCAGAACACACAGATTCAGCCAGAATTTTGTTCCATACAGTATCAACCTTGTGAACTCTCAAGCTTCCTCTTTCCACTATGTATTCAAGATGGACAATGATTAATATTTATATCTATTTATATATTAGTGTGTATGTATATACATATGTATGTTTATAGCATATCTATATCAGAGGTGGGTTTTAACAGGTTCTGACCAGTTCTGGAAAACTGGTAGCAGAAATTTTGAGTAGTTCGGAGAACTGGTAGTAAAAATTCTGACTGGCCCTGCCCCCATCTATTCTCTGCCTTCCGTGTCCCAGCTGATCGGGAGGAAACGGGGATTTTGCAGTAACCTTCCCCTGGATTGGGGAGGGAATGGAGATTTTACAGTATCCTTCTCCTGGAGTGGGGTGGGAATGAAGATTTTACAGTATCCTTTCCCTACCATGCCTACCAAGTCACGCCCATCAAGCCATGCCATGCCACGCCCACCAAGCCACACCCACAGAACCGATAGTAAAAAAATTTGAAACCCACCACTGATCTATATGTGTGTTATGTATGTGTACACTTTTGAGAGCAGGCGACAAAATGCCATTTTTAATGTGTGCCAGAGTTCCACAGGAAAAAAAAAATGACAATAAAGTTTATCTTATCTTTACCGTGGGGCAGTTCCACTTCCAAAACTTTATAATGTGGTTTGCTTCCTTGCATTTCTAGATGCCCAAGCAACCCAACCAGACTGACGAAATGCCTGAAAAATCATGTCTTCTTTCCTTTAGGTTGAAGCAAGATTAGTTACAAACGATTTCATAGGATTTCTGGTTGACTGCATGTCAAGATGAAGAAGTACTGAGCATATGGCCTCAGTAAAAGTCGTACAACTATCTCTTGAAATGGAGCAAACTTCAACAGACAACGGTGTCTTTCCTCAAGTGGCTTCTTTCACTCAACTCTTCTAGATGGGCCCAGTGGGAGACCATCATGCCTCCCCCTTACTTTTACAATACAGCAATCAGTTGAAGAACCAGTCCTGAGGAAATAAATAACGTTTAATCGGACTTGAGCCAAGTGCCAAAGAACCACCCCAATGGAAATAATTAGGGCTGGGGGAGGGAGGTTGAGTAGTTAAAGCAAAAGGATTCTCTTAAGTGCAATTAAACTTCTATCACATAGTGAATTATTGCTTCCAATAGATCTGTCTTGAGTGTTATGCTTTATACCTGTCATATTAGAAATATTAATTAATAAAAACTATTAGCAGTGGTTTTAATGCAGCAGTAATACAGAATCGTTAATGTCAGAAGAATTCAGGGATTCTCTGGATTTTGGAAAACGACTTTAGGCAGGCAAGTTAAATCTTGCTCCCAGTGCAGGCCCTTCCTGTGATATTACAGCACATCAAAATGAATGTCATGGAAAGACACCTGGATATTTTACACCACAGTCTTGTTTTTCCTCATCTGCATTATACAAACAAAAATACTCATTTTACTTCCATGGCACACCGAGAAAACAAAGCAAAGCAAAGCAAAGCAAAGCAAAACAAACGATATTGTATCTCCTTCCACTTGCTTGAAAATAATTTTTTAAAACAACCCTCTGGCATTAATTGTTGTCTTTTTTTTTTCTTCTTCTTCTTTATAAAGAGGTTGTTGATGAGTCGATCAAAGTGTGAAGAAGCCTTTTATTTGACTGAGCTTTGGGCTCACGAAGGCAGATGTTTTTCTCCTTTGTCTCGTTCTGTCGATGTTGAATGCAAAATAATAACAACGGCACTTCTGTTTGAAAGGAAGGTTAGTCCGGAAAAATTACACAACCGTCTTTGCAACCGCAGCGCTGAAGAATTTGCGTGTGACAGTTAAGGGTGACTTCTGTTCCTCCAGAATGTCACCGGGAAAGACTATTCTCTGAAAGGATCCTGGATTAGACAAATAGATCGGGTCATATTGTAGGCTCGCTTCAGTTCCAGTGCCAAGCAAGTTCATTTTCTCTTCATTATTGCTGCCCTCCTCTTCTCCCAATCGCACCTCCCTTTGGAAAGTCAGGATAATTAAAATGTTCATCTGCAATCTGGCAATGGGCACTTGAGCTTGATTTAATTATGTTTTGCTTTGGTTCTGAACCAAAAACAATGGTCTGTCAGGAAGGTTGATAGAGCTTCATCTGTGACGGCCTTCTCAAGAAAAGAAGGCAAAAAGCGGCAAAGCAGCCCAGAATAGGAAAAAAAAAATGAAGTCAACCTTTCAAAGCGATATTAAGAAGAGATCTCAGATAAGGTTATACATTTGTTTCTTTGCTTGCTTATTCATTTCTTTCCTGCCTTTGTTATTTTTATAAATACAGGTAGTCCTTGACTTACAACAGTTCTGTTCAAAGTTACAGTGGCACTGAAAAAAGTGACTTATGACCTTTTTTCACACTTATGACCGTTGCAGCATCCCCATGGTCACATGATCAAAATTTGAATGCTTGGCAACTGACTCAGTCCTGGGGTCACCTTTTGCAATCTTCTAACAAGCAAAATCAATGGGGAAGCCAGATTTGCTTAGCAACCATGTAACTAACTCAGCAATTCACTTAACAATTGTGGCCAGCCAAGTTTCATAAAATAGGGCTAAATTCACTTAACAAATCAGCAACAGAAATTTTGGGCTTAATTGTAGTCGTAAGTTTAGGACTCATTGTAACTCAAGACAGCACACATACCAGTTTGGTTTAGTGCAGGGGTGTCAAACCTGCGACCTCACATGATGTATCATGACTTTTCCCCCCTTCGCTAAACTGGGGGTGGATGTGGCCAGCGAGTGACGCATCTGGCCTGCCAGCCGCGAGTTTAACACCCCTGGTTTAGTGGTTAAGGCACGAGGCTAGAAAGTGGGGGGATAGCGAGTTCTAGTCCCACCTTAGCCATGAAAGCCAGCTGGGTGACTTTGAGCTAATCACTTTTTCTCTCTGCCCAGCCCACCTCACAGGGTTGTTGTGGGGAAAATAGGAGGAGGAAGGTGTGTTTGATATGCCGTTGCCTTGAGTTATTTTGCGAAAATAATAAAGGCAAGTTACAGATAAGAAAGTAATAAATACCTAACATGTCTTCCTCCTCCTAACTCTCAGCCAAGTTACTTGAGGGATCGCCATTTTTCAAGAGTCTCTACCTGTCCAACTAGATCTAGCAGAATGGACTTGCTGCAGATCCCATCAGTGAATGATTGGTGGCTGGCAGGGATTAGAAAATGGTCTTTTTCCAGAGTGTCCCCTACATCAGTGGTGGATTCCTCCCGGTTTGGCCCGGTTCTCCCAAGCCGGTAGTGGTGACGATATGATGTCACCGAACTGGTTCTGCCCCCCACCCCCCCGCATTATTCTTACCTTTTATTTGGCCCCACCCACAATCTATTGCTGCCTCCTGAGTCCCAGCTGATGGCTAGAGGAAAAAAAACTGTTTAAACTCTTGCCCTGGGGCTTCAAAGGGCCGCCCTACAGCTGATCAGTGTTAAAAGAAAACAAATGAGTAGACCAGCGCCTGCAAAAATACATGAGTAGATCAGTGTCTGCAAAAATACATGAGTAGATCAGTGCCTGCAAAAATATATGAGTAGATCAGTGCCTGCAAAAAATAAATGGGTAGATCGGTACAGCTCTGCAAGCAGTTAAAATCCTGGTAGACCAGTAGCTCTGCTAAATCCTAAATAATTGTCACATGACCATCAAGCCACGCCCACAAAACCGGTAGTAAAAAATTTTAGAACCCACCCCTGCCCTACATCTTCCTTTCAGAGATTAGAATAGCCCTAAAAACCTGGCTATGTTCCTAAGCATGGGATATTGAATGTGCCAAGAGACCAGTTTGTTGGCTCTGTTGCTAACTGCCCAAGTATCTCAGCTGCTATGTAGAGTAGATTTACATTGGATGTTTCTATTCTTATTGTTTTATAATGTTTTTAGTATTTTTCACGTTTAACATTTTTATTGGTAAATGTTTTTAGTATTTTTGATTGTAATATATTTCTTGAATTGTAAGCACCCCAGAGTCATTGACTGAGATGGGTGGCTATAGAAAGGGAATAAATAAATAGTAAATATTGATATTCTCAATACAGGTAGTCCTTGATTTATGACCACAATTGAGACTGAAAATTCGGTCACGACAGTCATAAATTGAAGCACCCACATAACCAGATCTGATTTTATGACTGTTCTTACACTGGTCGTTAAATCAATCATGCAGTTACAAGTCTGAATCACAAAACTGTTAAGTGTGCTGCGCCACTCACTCACAAACACACATCAGTGCGGTTTATAGAGAGTTTTATTTGTGTTCCCCAGAAGTTCTCATCACCCAATCTCAGAACTGTCCCAAATAAAGCCATCCACAAGCAAGCCAAGATTAATCCACCAGGTAATGGCCAATAGTCCATAAAACAAATGCAAAGTTGCTCCAACAAGTTAAGTTCACTAAACCAACTTTAAGCGACCAGGCAAAACTGAAAGTACCTCCGTGACAGCTCACTTGTCAGGAGAAGTTCAAAGATCCAGCAGGAACCATGAACAAACACACAGCCATGAACCACAAGCATTGTTCCCAGCAACGCCTCTCTCTGCCTGTCATGCTATATAATTTCCTGGTGCAGCCCATCAAGAGGGGCGGTGCCTTCTCCCGAGTAATCTGGCAGATCTCCATTTCTCTGCCCTGCATGATCTGAGATCCACCACAGAAGGCAGCTCCTCCTCCTCTTCACTGACCTGAAAGCTGTCCCCAGCCGAAGCCTGTAATTCTCTTTCTGATGGCAGTTCAGGGTCAGTAATTAATGTTCCTGACTCCCTTGAGCAGGCCTCCAAGGAAGAGTCAGAGGAGTCATCCAAGGGAGACATCACATTAAGCGAATCACACGGTCATAAGTGTGAATCCATTTTCTTGAGTGGTCCAAACTGTGGTCAAATGGCCATGGGATACTGCAACCAGTCATGAATGTGAGCCGTTTGCCAAGGGACTGAAATGCTATCATGTGACTATGGGGGAGGGGAGTGATGCAATATTTTACAATGGCCAGAAGTCCTTTATGGACCATAAAGCATCCTTTCCGAGGCTATCATAACTCTGAACAGTTGTTAAATTTATTATTTTATTTTATTATTTTATTTATTTATTTGTCAACAAGTACAAGGAAACAAGTAACAGTATAGACATGGACACATGAAATTTTTTTGGCACAAATAAAAGGAAATAAATAAGCAAAACATAGCCATAAACACATAAAATGAGTACATATAAATGGGAACAGTAGGACAGGGACGGTAGGCATGCATGCCCCCTTAGGGACCTCTTAAAAACCATGAAAGACAGTTTAGGGTAAAAGGTAGACAGTTTAAGGTAAAAAGTATGGGGATTAGAGAGACTAACAACAGGATCAGATAGAGTGTTCCAGACATTTACTACTCTATTGCAGAAGTCATATTTCCTACAATCAAGATTAGAGTGAATTACATTGAGTTTGAATCTATTGATAGCCCTTGTAATAAATAATCAGTCATAAATCAAGGACTACTTGTAAGGCAGCCCTTACTTAGTGATCACAATTAGAAATGACAACACACCCATTAAGCAAAGCTGTTACTAGGTGAAACTTTCATTGTGCTTTATGTCAATGAAAACTCAATTGTCCAGGCCAAAAGTATCTTAAAAAGTTAAAATCCTGGCAACTGGACCAAAGTTTCTTAATCTGAGATATTTTGTTACTCATCCAAGTAACTTATCAGTCAAAATAAAAAAAGAAATAGGCAGTGAGTCAGAGAGTTGTTGGAATGTACCAACTCTTGACACATCAACTGCAGGGGTTTCTCTCCAAAATGTACCGAATTTTGTATTAGTTGTGCTTACAATCTTACTTTAGTTTTCCTTTGCTTTACAAACCTGCGAACCTGTGAGGATTGCTCACACAAATACTTTTTCATCTCCCTTGTAATTGCACGTGGTCCCTAAACGAGGCAGTCCCTAAATGAGGACCACCTGTACTGCAAAACCGTGATTCCTACAGCATCACTTGTGTTACTGTAGGCAAAATTAGGTGAGCAAAAATTACATGTATCTCTTATTAGTTAACGAAATAACACTAAGCCATTCCGTGACATTCAGTCAGCTCTAATTCTTCTCAAAGAGAGACAGAGAAATATCACAGACGCTGCACTGAGAAGT